GAAGACATTCCTGTTTTATTTTGCCAACAATTTAAAAACTAGCTACATTTGCCAAATATTGTATCAGAAAGAAATATCTGATACAAATAACACGTATAGACAGACACAGAGACAACAGCAGAAGTTATAGTTTTCAGAAATTTTTTTCATTTGCTAGCTTCCAAATCGTTTTTCTTTCCCCCAGTTCAGACTATAGATTTTCCAATTACCTGTTTCAATGCCCTAAGCGATTGTTAGGTAGACAACCCTAAAATTTCACTTCTAAAGGGATGACTTTTAGGTAAAACAAGATAGAAACTTTATCTCTCAAATGCATACAGTTGAGACTTTAGGCCTAAATATTGTTCCGTCTTTTGCCCAAATCAACAAAGGAGGATGTGGATAAATGCCCAGCTAAGACACGATGGACAAGAAAAAGTACGTTAAAGATGAGACTTGTTACATAAATCTAAGTCGATTACAAGTCTCTAGTAACTTAGTCCTTCCTCTCTTCCTGCTGCACAGAGGCAGGCATCCTTAAAAATGAAGATTTCTTTTATAGATCTACATTTATTTTACAAAAGTGTTTCAAAATTGCCAGCTAAGTGCCAGAAAGGTGAATTTGGAGACCAATTTAGTTCAATAGGCAGTCTTTTTAAGTTAGCCACTATTTTTTAGCTAAAATTACTGAGGTCAGTTTGGAGCTCATTAATTAATAAGGCCAGGAAATAATTCTCTGTGTGGACTCAGCATCGATAGCTCTGAAAAAGAAAAAAGTCTACTTTACTTGAGGGCTTACCTTTCATGAACACTTTATATAACTCTTTTTATCCTTGGGGCAGGATAGTAACTAAGCCAAAAGATTAGCAGATTCAATTTTTCTTATCAATTAGTTGTTAAGCTTTTTATTTGCCTTTTGAAAGGCTTTAAAAAAAGGCAATAGAAATATTCACATTTTTTACAAGCTTCTGCACATCAACAGGTGTCCCTAGATATGGCTAATTTGTGAGTCCTCATTTTTTTTTTTTTTTTTGAGACGGAGTTTCGCTCTTGTTACCCAGGCTGGAGTGCAATGGCGCAATCTCGGCTCACCGCAACCTCCGCCTCCTGGGTTCAGGCAATTCTCCTGCCTCAGCCTCCTGAGTAGCTGGGATTACAGGCACGCGCCACCATGCCCAGCTAATTTTTTGTATTTTTAGTAGAGACGGGGTTTCACCATGTTGACCAGGATGGTCTCGATCTCTTGACCTCGTGATCCATCCGCCTCGGCCTCCTAAAGTGCTGGGATTACAGGCTTGAACCACCGCGCCCGGCTGGGAGTCCTCATTTTTTAAATGCACTTCTTAAAGTTAGGTGTTGTTCATTTGGAACATTTCACTATAATTTTAAATTATCTTTATAAGATTTTGCCTTTTTTGTAAATATTTGCGGCTGGTAGGACCTAATAATTATGCATGTAGAGGTACAGGTAGACGAAAATGGAGCGCTCAGTTCTTCAGAAATTAAGGATCCCATTTTTATGTTGAATATTGCTTTTGGCACTCACATCATGAGCAACTTAGCCAAAGATTTTCCCCTACCTAAAGCATTAGAAAAACAAAAAGGTTAGAACACAAAATCCTGGTGAATTTCTGAAAGCCAGAGTTCACACCTTCTGTAGTATTGCCACTTCCTTCTAGTTTGTCTGCCCAGTCAGCCTCTAAGACTTCTAACTGGATATAATCCAGTTAATTATTGAGTCCAAGCCAGTCCAGTTTCTGTCATGACTTCTGAACCCAGTTAAGACAAAAAATGTGCACATACAGATTCAAGTAATCAAAACACAAACGCATGGATCTTCATAATCTGAGAGACAACTTACCCATGATCCCCAGTTGCTTCTAGAGAGCAATGCATACAATGGACCCAGCTCGAACATTGCTTAATCACTCAATGCTCCTGGGGGTTGCTGGAAGCTCTACTTCAAACCCACTTCTAAAGCCATCTGTTAGATGAAACCTTTAGAAAAATAAAATTTTAAATTCAGTTAAAGAACAATTCAAGAATCAGGCAGCCCTTAGAACGAGAATATGTTCAGAGCGACTCTTAGCCTGTTACATGGTCAGATGACATTCATGGACAGGAAAAGGAAAGTGAGGTACAGAAGATGGAAATGAGGTACAGAATTAGTGTTTGAACAGGGTTTGAAAAATTAGCCACTATGGTTGGCTGAAACACTGTGATTGGTACAAGAGTAGTTTATAGTTTGCCAAGAAATTTTTTTAAGACAAACTTAAAATATGTAAGGAGGCAGCTTTAGGCTCAACTTAATTTAACAGTATGATTTAATTTATATAAGTGTTTATAAAGGAGAATGCCAAAGCTCTAGCAGGACTTGCTACTTTGTGGAAAGGTCAGAATTACAACCCAAACCTCAATCACCAGGGATAGTAGGTTTTTACTGAAACATCATTCACATTGCACCTAAGTGTAATGAAAAGATGAAGGATTAAAGGGAATAAAAAAAATACTCTACTGAAGCTGGGGCAAATGAGGGATTCAATACATTTGTTTCATCTATTATAGCTATGTTTATATGTTGATCACCTTAGTATATAAAATAAAACTAAAGGACTGAATGAAATGTGTGACATGTATTCTTTATTTGAAACCCCTACTCCCTTTTCTGAGCATTTTTATGGAGTAGGTAATGTATTACAACTTAGTTTTTGGGCTTTTTCTTTTCTTTGTTTTCTTTTTGAGACAGAATCTTGCTCTGTTGCCAAGGCTGGAGCACAATGGCGATATAGCTCACAGCCACCTCCGCCTCCCAGGTTCAAGTGATTCTTTTGCCTCAGCCTCATGAGTACCTGGCATGTGTCACCATGCCTGGCTTATTTTTGTATTTTTAGTAGAGACAGGGTTTCACCATGTTGACCAGGCTGGTCTCAAACTGCTGACCTCAGGTGATCTGCCCATCTCAGCCTCCCAAAGTGCTGGGATTACAGGTTGAGCCATGACACCTGGCCAGTTTTTGGGCTCTTATTGGTGAAATTCTCAGTTAGTAACTAGGTTTGTTTTTACTTTGGTTAAGAAACTTTCCCTTTTGATTTGGTTTATATGAGGGAAGGTGAATGTTTTTAAAATGACCTTTTCTTGTCTTGGATCTCTGGCTTTTAGGGAGTAGGTTGGCATTTTGAAAATCAGAAGATCGTTTTAGAAACTGCATCTTTCATTAATTCTTGTGGCCTGGGGCGAGTTACTCTGAGTCTCACTTTTCTTATTTGTAAAATGGTGTGATTTTATTACCTTGAAGGGTACCATGAGAAAACATGCTTGACAGTGTGTTTAATTTTAAACATAATTATTTAATTGTTCATTCAGTTGCAGGTTAGAGTTTGAGATGTAAAGTTTCTCTCACCGGATTCCTTCAATTTATATATGAAAAGATTCCTAAAGTGTCAAGCTAAGATAAATGTTAGTCTGCTCTTATTGCATTGATAATACCTGGCTAAGTATTTCATTTTCTAAATAACACTTCTTTAAAAGACCATATATATATATATATATATGTGTGTGTGTGTGTGTGTGTGTGTGTGTGTGTGTATAAAACAAAAGTACAATTAGACTATGCATTTCTAGCAAAACAATTTTTAGACATAATGAATATGTACAATAAAGATTTATATTACTGCCAGATTTTATCAGAAGTGTATTGAGAAAATTTATGCAAATATTGAAATTAAATCCTAAATTACTTAAAAAATTAATTATTATATCACATATTAAGTACCATATTATCCAAATATAAGGTTATCTGGAGTGAAAAAGACCACAATTTTCTAATAAGTGAAACTTTAAAATTACAGAAAAATTTAAAATAACAGAAATCTGGGAACTATAACTTTGCTAATATAACAATAATATTAATGTATCATAATTACATATAAACACCAAAAAATGAAAATCTTTCTTTTTCTGTTTTAGCCTTGGGAGACTGAATCGGTTTTATAGACAAACTGATACAGCTGTTCCCCAGCAACTACTCAACATATATTTATGTAACTTTCTCACAGATGTAAAACCTCTCAGAGACCGCTTTTCAAAAAGATACTAAGCTCAAAACATTTGCAATATACTTTTTGACCCCAACCCTGTCACTTTCCTCTACCCTCAAACCACTGTGAGAGGTTTGCAAAAAGAAAAAAACCTTAAAAATGCCAGTGTCAGCTTTTTCAAAAATTTTAATATATTTTTTCAGTGACAACTTCTTTGTCTTGGGACTGCAGGGGTGACTCTGTTCACTGATAGTGCTGAGATTCCTGAACTCCCCAGCGCCAGCCCCTGCCTCACTGCCCAACTCCCTGCTGGGCATATCCTGTCATGTCAAGGATTATAACTGGATTGTGAAAGTTAGGTTATTATTTTTAAATGCATTTTCTTAAGCTATAAAATGGTTTGGGTATGATATTTGTTTTACACATATAAAACACAGTCACAAAATAGCACTTGATGAATTCAAGTACTTTTTTGAATTAAATATTGATGCAATTATTAATTATTCATTGCATCAATATTCATATTTCCTCTTTCATAAGAAAAAAGAGAGCAGAGAATACAATTCTTCAGATACTTATGGCTTCAGACAGAAAGGTTAGAGATCCTGAAAAACAGAAATCATAAAAAGTAATCTTTTTAGCTGAAATAGGTTTTGCAAAATTATTTAGAAATAAATAACATAAAATTCCCAAAGTAAAAAATAAACATAGAAATATTGAGTAATTAGACAAGATCTTAATTTACTTAATGATATTTTCTGTGCCACATATAAAAGGAGATAGAGAATATCTAGCCTATAAGTACAAATTGGGCTTTTAAATATTGAGTTATTCAAGTGATTTTAGAAGTGACAAAATTTTCATCATTATAAAAGTGTTCTATGCTCATTAAGAAATCTAGCTATTCAATTGTCATAGTTTTTTGACATCCATATGTAGTTGCATAAATAATCTTTTATTTGGCTTTTTATTTATTATCAACAGGACTCAAAAAGAGATGAAGGCAATGAGACTGAAGCCAACAGCATGTATAAATTAAGAAAGACGAGGAAGAAAGTCACTAAATCACATGTTTGTTCAACTGAAGTGGGAGAAATGGATATATCCAATTTAAATGGTATCTAACTCCTCTGAGCCCTCAAAAATGGTGTGGTCAATGGCAATCTCCATTTGGTCTTTCTTTCAATAAAACATCTTCCTTTCTTCTTTGGGAGAAGCAAAAGGAAAAAGGAACTAAATTTATTCCTATATAGGTGACATAAAAGATGGCAAATATAAGCTTACAATGTAAATATATAAAAATAATCAAAATATTTACAATTTAAAGAGGGTTAGAATTAGAGTGGTAATAGTAGGGAAAAAAAAGAACAAAACAGAGGAAAGCATGAGTAGGAAGACAAACAGTCTTCTGCTCTGAAACTGAATACAGAAATCATTACTGAAGATTTGGGGGGGGGTCATAAGAATGGTAGGGAAGGTGTTTTCATAACACATGTTGGAATTCCAACTAGATTTCAACAGATCTGAGACACTGCTAAACCTAGAAGTTAATTTGGGCAACAGGCTCAATCCTAGGAATCACTGTGTCCCAAGGCAGGACAGTAGGAATTCCCAGCATATGGTTACAATAAAAAGCAGTGAGATTTTAGAAGATTTTATTATTTATGTATAATTTTTTTGAGACAGAGTCTCACTCTGTCACCCATGCTGGAGCGCAGTGACATGATCTTGGTCACTGCAACTTCCGCCTCCCGGGCCCAAGCCATCCTCCTATCTCAGCCTCCTGGGTAGCTGGAATTACAGGGGTGTGCCACCACGCCAGTCTAATTTTTTTTTGTATTTTTAGTAGAGACGGATTTTCACCATGTTGGTCCGTCTGGTCTTGAACTCCTGACCTCAAGTGATCTACCTGCCTTGGCCTCCCAAAGTGCTGGGATTACAGGCTACAGACATGAGCCACTGTGCCTGGCCTATTTTTAATTCTCTACAAACAATGCACTTTTGTTGGTCAGCGACTAGGGTAGACCACTCTCATTGCCTCTCATTTAATATGTCACTGCCAGGAATATACTATTTTCTCAAGTATTCCTCTCCATATTATATTAAGAGACAGCTGAAAACAAGGGCAACATATGTTAACATTTTTCCTTATTACTGCAGAGAGGATCAGAGACCAAATGGTGTGCCACAAATTAGGGAACATGAGCAAACCAGTCACGGGAGCTGGCTCTGCTGAGTCTCAACTGTCACATGATAACAAGGACTCTCAGGATGAGACAACAGTGATAAAACTATTGTCCCCCAGAACAACAACCAATGTTCCTGGTGGTGAATTTAACCCAAACTCTGGTAAGGATTTACTGGTAAGGATTCTGGAACAAACTGATATGTGGTTCTAGCCACTAACCCCAAGTTTGTATTTGAATTGACAGAATGTAATGTTGGCTGAGGAATACCAGCCTGGGAGTCAGAACACTTAAAAAATTTATATACCTATCTTTTATAAAATACTTTGTAGTTTTTTTTATCCTTTAGGCTGCTCATGTGAAAAATAGAAGGTTTGCAATGGAAGATGTCTCACTTTTTCTAAAAGTAAAATCCTATTTCTAAGTTTCTGGCTTATTGATAGTAATGTAACTATTTTGGTACATGAATGTATTGTTTAAAACTCTCTTGTATGAAAATGCTAGATTTTGGTTCTAAAAGGAAGTCTAAAGGCCAGGCATAGTGGCTTACACCTGTGATCCCAGCACTTTCGGAGGCTGAGGTGGGAGGATCATTTGAGACCTGGATTTCGAGATCAGCCTGAGCAACATACACAGACTCTCTTCCTACATAATAAAAAAATTGGCTGTATGTGGTGATACATGCCTGTGGTTCTAGCTACTTAGGGGGCTGAAGTGGAAGGATCACTTGAGCCCAGGAGGTTGAGGCTACAGGAAGTTGTGATTGTGATATTTCATTCAAGCCAGGGTAACAGAGAGAGACCTTGCCTCCTCCACCCCTTGCCAAAAAAAGAAGGAAATCTATAATGACAGGTTAAACATATAAGATTTGGAAAGATGAGAATATACCAGAGTTGGAAGTTAGAGGGTTAGTTTCTACCACATTACCCTCACTTCTGACACCAATTACAAGTTTTGGAATTCCCCAAGTAAGGACTCACTGAACTCACAGAAAGCTGTTATATTCACAGTTATGATTGATTACACTAAAAAAATACAAATTAAAATCGGCCATGGGCAGTCCAGGGAAGTTCTAAGCACAGAATATTCACTTGTCCTTTGTTCCCTTGCCCTTTCTTAGTGGAGTCACGGACAGACAGCACTATTCTCTTGGCAATGATGTGAGAAATGTTGCCAGCCAGGGAAGCTCACTTGAGTCATGGTGTCCAGAGTCTTTACTGGGGCATCATGGTTAATTGGGCATTTGGCTGACCTCACTCTCCAGCCCCTTTGGGAATCAATTGGTTACTGCATGAGTTGAAATCACCACTATAAATAACATTGTTAGAGTTTCTGGCATGGTCTAGAACCCCTAGATAAACAGACACTCTTGTCTGGCAAGACATTCGAACTGCTTGGAGATTATCTCCCAGGGACCAAGGGCAGAGACCAGAGCTCTCCTTGGGCAAGGGTAAATCCTTTAGTACACACAGGGCCTAGGGAGGAGCTAGAGCCTGGAAAATAAACACTCTCAGAATTCTGTATGTATTAGTCTTCTATTGCCACCATACCAAATCACCACAAATTTACTGTCTTTTAAAAAATACAAATGTACTATCTCACAGTTCTGTACCTCAGAAGTCTAGGCCGGCTCATCTGCTTTCCTTGTTTCGGGCTTTGCAAGGCTAAAGTCAAGGCGTTGCCATCTGGGTTCTTATCTAGACCCTCTAGGGAACAGTACACTTACAAGTTCATTCAGATTGTTGAGAGAATCCAGTTCTTTGTGACTGTAGAAGTGAAGTTATTCTGTCCTGGCTGGTCAACTGGGGTGGCCCTTGTCTCCCAGTAGCCTCTCTCTGGTTTTATATCTCAGAGATAGCACGCCTCAAATCCTTCTCCTATTTAGAACTTTTCCGAATTCCCCTTCTTCCACATCCCTTTTCTGCTCTCAGCTGGGAAAAGCCCTCTGCTTTCAAGGGCTTCGATGGATAATCAAAGATAATATTCCTATTTTAAGGTTCATAACCTTAATTACATTTGCAAATTTCCTTTTGCCATGCAATTTAATACATTCACGTGCTCCAGGGATTAGGCATGGTAGAAATTTTCCATGGGCTATTCTCCCTACTGATACGGAGACTAGCCACTGAAATACTGGGTAGAAGAGGGCAGTTCCCTGGCAAAGACCCCACCCTAAAGCCTGGAAACCCATGGCTCTAAATGGAAAAAGGTATTTCTGTTTTTGCCTTTTTCCAACAAAGGAAAATGTTGCCTTTTCCAAGAGCACTCTGGCCCACCATGCCCCTATCCTATGCCCATATGAACTCCAAGCTCCACTGGCAGAGCAGCAGAACAGCAAGGGAGAGGAGAGAAGAGAAGGAGCATGTGAATGTGGAGAGGAGCTTGGCTGGGGATGGTTGGACAGGAGATCTGTGGTGGGACAGCCGAACTCCAGGGGAAAATAATATTCCCACTCCATCTCATTTCCTGATCCCCAACCATCCCACTGAGAGCCACCTCCATCACTCAGTAAAATCCCCACATTCACCATCCTTCAAGTCCACGTGACCTGTTTCTTCCTAAACTCCAGATAAGGAGCAAGGTACCTAGAGGACAGGGTGGTGTAAAAGGCTGCTTTCCTGACTCTCAACTGAGCTGGTTAACACCTAGCGATTGGTGAATGACAAAGCTAAAAGAGCATGGTAACACCCCTAAACACTGCCGTAGGGCTGCAGCCCAAAAGCTCTCAGCTTGGCTCACAGGCTTGTTCCCCCTCCCACAAGTGGTTTGAGCACAGTGGCCCAGTAAATGAGTCACATCCCCATTGCAAGTCTCTCGAGGGGGTAAGGGAACTCTCTGGTCTCACTACCACACTATCTCTCATATCTGAATTTCTCTGAAGTGGAGAACAGGAGCACTAATGACCTCTGAACATCAGGCAGCTATTGATAAAAATGCCCACAGGGGCCAGACGGTTAATACAAATGATGGACTGGTGTAAGAAAATAGGGAGTGGTGCTGCTCATGAGAAACTGGAGCAGAGAGCAACCAACTAGGGCCCCAGGGCCAAATTCAACTTGCTGGTCAGTTTTTGTAAATAACGTTTCGTTTACATATTATTGATAGCTGCTAAGATGACATTGTGCTTAATCAGTAGCTGCAATGAATACCATATGGCCTACACAGTTGCAAATATTTACTATCTGGTCCTTTACAGAAATGTTTGCTACCCCATGAAGTAAAGGTTGCCTGTCCCATCTAGACTACCTCAGAGTTCCAACAAGTTGTTGCTATGGAGAAATATCTACCCTGAGTTGCCAGATCTAGTTTCAAAAGAAATTTGAACTCAAGATTTCTACATAAAATTTTCTAATAGTGAAATGCTGCCCACTATTTCAAAAAAGTTTCTAAACACTGGGAAGACTAATCAGATAACATCTGCTGGCCACATAGGCTCCTCCAGAGATTGTGACAACTGTTTTATATATTCTAGTTTTAGCTACAAAAGAGAGATGGATTTACTGTTTCTTTGTCGTAAGTCAAAAATATGGAGAAAGGTCTTGTGTCATGAGCTCTCTTTGCACTGTCAACCATGACTTGGAGCATGGGTATCATTACTAACTTAACTTCTTTAGCTCAGAAGCTCTCTTTTTGGCCCAGGGTATATTAAGTTCTCTATAGGCCCTCAGTACCAAACATTTAAACCACAAACCAATCACCTATACATAATTTAAAAATAAATTTAAAAATAACCCCACCAAAATGACTGTAAGGAATTTTGATATGGTATTTCTTCTTTGGAATAACTTCTCCAAGTTTTTTTAAAAACAAAACTTTTTCTTTTCTTCCAAAGAAAAACTGCCCTTTCCTCCTACTTTTTATGTATTGCTTTTTTTTTTCTTTTTCCTGCTTTGTACCTGGTTATTCTGCCACCTGGGCTTCCCACCAATGGCTGGGCTAGTATAATGTGGCCAGAAGGCAGGGTTAAATTTGTACAAACATAGCCACAATAATGAAAGATGGTGGGACCTTGAAAGAGCACGGTCTTATGCTACATGTGCAATAACTGAATGTATTCTGGAGTTTTCTGTCAAATGCACTTTTTTCTTTCTTTGAGTTGGCATTTCTGAAAGCCCAAATACCTCTTCAATCTCCCTTTTATAAGTGACCATGGCTTGTTCTCTATAACTGATACATGTCCTCGTCATGAACATGGATAAAATTTCTCTAAGGCCTTCTAGTTGCTATAGAGCTTTGAGGTTTTTTTTCTTTAAAAATGTTTTCTTATTTTTTCCCTAAACATTCACAGCACTAAAACATCTTCTCTAAAAACACATTGATTTAATTTATTAGTCCTCTGAGGGAATAGAAAAGAAGAACACCTCCCAGGAACCACACTGTAGGAAAAACAAATGAACTCCTGAACTGGCAATTATCTGCCTGCTATTCATCATGTGCAGCTGGGAGAGGCTGACCAAAAGGTTTAATTGTAAGTAACAAGTATGATTTACTTGAAGAAAAGAAATTCAGACAATGATGCAGCAAGATCAGTTGATGCCTTGAAAATAAAATTGAATTGGATAGGGTTCTCATATGTGGTGAACGAATTGAACTTTTAAATAAAAAATTGATATTTAGGATATATACTAAAATATATCATGACAACTTTTATTAATTAAACAAGATCAAATCACACAGGATGTGTTTGTTCATTCACTCACTCGTTCAAAAAATATTTGTCGAGTGCCTATGAGATGCCTGTACTGTTACAAGTACCAAAAAAACAGCAGCTCATAAAATTAAGCCTCGGCTCTCATGGAGCTGATAGGCAATGGGGGATGACAGGAACATATGCATATACAGTGTGGCAGGTGCCAGTAAGGAAGGACACTGAAGAAAATAGAAACAGAATTATTCACTGTTATGTGTTGAATGGTGTTTCTCCAAAATTGGTATAATGAAATCCTAACCTTCAGTACCTGAGAATCTGACCAAATTTGGAGATATGCTCTTTAAAGAGATAATTAAGGTTAAATAAGATTAGTACGGTGGACCTTAATACAGTATGACTCCTGTCTTCATAAGAAGAGGATATTAGGTCACGGACATGCACAGAGAAAAAAACATGTGAAGATGCTGGAAGAAGATGGCTGCCTACAAGCAAAGGAGAGAGGGACTTTAGAAGAAACAAATCTGTGGACACCTTTGACTTTGGACTTCTAGCCGCCAGAACTGTGAGAAAAAAAATTTCTGTTTAAGCCACCTGGTCTGGGGCATCTGTTATGGTGGCCCTACCAAATGAATACATGTACTGTACTCACTGTCCAACCACAGGGCAACTTGGAGACTTAAAAATGAATCAAGGGTTAGACCTGTCCACATTGTGATCAAGTCTCACACAATTAATACTTCAGGTGATTATGTTTATTTTTATTTTTATTTTTGAGACAGAGTTTCGCTCTTATTACCCAGGCTGGAGTGCAATGGCGCGATCTCGGCTCACTGCAACCGCCGCCTCCTGGGTTCAGGCGATTCTCCTGCCTCAGCCTCCTTAGTAGCCGGGATTACAGGCACGCGCCACCACGCCCAGTTAATTTTTTGTATTTTTAGTAGAGACGTGGTTTCACCATGTTGACCGGGTTGGTCTCGATCTGTTGACCTGGTGATCCACCTGCCTCGGCCTCCCAAAGTGCTGGGATTACAGTCTTGAGCCACCGCGCCCGGCCCTATGTTTAATATTTTTTCAGCACTTTCACTGAGTGAATTTCTCCCACCTTTGCATTTGATGGCAGGTTTATTATCTATAGTTGCCCCACTTTATAATATAAAGTTCTATTAGGGCAAGGCTCTTTCTGGCTGATTCTTAGATACACGTTCAGTATGAACAGTATGTGATGATGAAAAATATCTATGTTGAGTGAATAAATATTATACTTATTTAAAAATAATATGTATTCATTATAGAAAATTTAGGAGATACAGATAAGGCAAAACACTAGTAAGATGATCTGTTATCCTATTACTGGTGAACCAATAAAATTACCTTTCTCCTTTTATAGGAGATGTCTTCTTTATAGCTTATACATAATTGCTTATTATGTTAAGAATATTCATTGTCTAAAAATTTCCATATTATTATTATTATTTGTTAAGACAGTCTCTGTCACCCAGGCTAGAATGTTGTGATCTAGGCTCACTGCAACCTCCACCTCCAAGGCTCAAGCGATTCTCATTCCTCAGCTTCTTCAGTAGCTGGGACTACAGGTGCATGACACTACACCCAGCAAATTTTTGTATTTTTAGTAGAGACAGAGTTTTGCCATGTTGCCCAAGCTGGTCTTGAACTCCTGGCCTCAAGTGATCTGCCCACCCCAGCTTCCCAAAGTGCTGGTATTACAGGAGTGAGCCACCATACCTGACCCCTATTTCCACGTTTTAAAATGCCTATAAATTTTGTTTAAGGAGCATTATTCATTTTGGGCTGAACACCCAGTATTTCAGAGTAGGTTGGGAATACAGCAAGCGCTAATGTAGCATGAAACACTTTAATTGCTACAGTTTAATTGTTTGTGTTAAATGGAAGGTAGTTATAAAGCCTCCAGACTTTCAGAGTAGCCAAATGTATCAGTGATAGGACATTATCAGTAATATATTTGCATATGTGGAAGCAGTCATTTGTTTTTTCCCATGCTTCATGTACTTAAAATCTACTTAATCTATGTTTCTAAACTGTCAGTCTTTATGCTTATTTCTAAAGCCTAATTATATCTTCAAAAAGGATACGCATATATCACTTTAAAATTATAGCTGCTCAATATCAGTGATGTGACAGATGGGTGTTTGGATGCAGACATGATTGTGGCATCATTTACTAGGGCTAGAGTAATTGTACTCACTTTATGCATTTAAGTGCCACTTATATGGTGCTTACTGTCTGCCAGTAACTGTTAATAAGGTGTTTAATCCTCACAACAAGCCTATGAAGTAGGTTGTATGTTATTGATGAGAAAGTTGAGGCATGAAGATAAGATTGTTGCTAGGGCAAAGGCAGGATTGGAAGGGAGGTAGATGGGCCTCAGTGTTTTGTGCTAACCACTATACTCTGCTGTCTCTCCTAAAAGTTCTGACAGCAACTAACATTTATAATGTATACTATTTGCCTGACTGTTCTATGTCCTATAGACATATTATTCTAATTTGTGGTAATAAGTTACACAGCATGAATCAAAAGCATGAATTGTAGTTTCAAACCTGCAGAGGACTGATAGTATGGTTTGGAGTAACTCATTGTACCACTTTGGGACTCTAGCTAATGAGTTGGTTAAATTAGATGACTTATCTCCAAAGTTCTAGCTCTAAAGTTAGAATTCGCAAAGTATCTTAAAAATCTTGAAAAGAACATTTATTTATGTTTCTAATTTTAAATTGAGTATGCAGTCCAGATTTTTCATCTCCTACACACTCATTCTTTAAAAAAAAAACACTTTTGTTTGCTTATTTAAGCAAGTTTTAAATTTGATAGAAATATGTAGACTTCTTAAAGTTAGATGCCATTAAAAAGATATAAAGCCCTTTGGGCAAAAAACTCCCAGAATGAAACAAAATCCCAGAAAATAAACAAAACCAAATTCACTTTTAATGATATAGAAATTAACAGTTCAAGAGGCCAAAATATGTTCAATAGTCACTTGCAGAAAGACTTTTATGGTCTCTTTTTTGCTGTGAACTCATGCAAATATATTCTAATTTCCATAAGCGAAGGGATTTTCAGTAAGTATCTACATATGATATTGCTATATCCTTATGCCAATAATGTCAATTTTGTCCTCATCCTAATTGATAAACGATCTCTTAGGCTGTTTAGACGCAGTAACTTTGGGAAGATGGTAAGGTCAGGATAAAAAAGGTAAGATATCCAACTCTAAGCCAGTGACATGATGAATATTTAATGTTGTTGCTAATCATAAGGATTAATTCACTACTCTATAGTTTCCTTTGCTTCTTAGTTCATCATGATCTACTGAGTTAGAACTTTTTTTTATTTTGCAGATTGCATGAGGGACAGCAGTCAAATATTGACCCCACCTCAACTCTCTTCTAGAATGAAACACATTAGACAAGCTATGGCCAAAAATCGTCTCCAGTTTGTACGATTTGAAGCAACAGACCTTCATGGTGTGTCCAGGTTTAAGAGTATCCCTGCACACTTTTTTCAAGTGAGTTTTATACACAGTTGTGACTGAATGTAATTTCATGACCATTAGCAAGCAAATGGTTCTTATTACTCTTTCTTATTTTCTTGTAATCTATACAGTAATTCAAGCTGAAAATCAATAACTTATTTTGTTTCTTCTCTTGTTCCTCCCAAACACATTATTGCTCCCCAAGGAGCTAAACATTTACTCTCAGCTCTCAAACAGCAATTTCTTTACCCAATAGAAATACAAAACTAATTAAGACTGGTAATTTTAGTCCTTCTGCATTGAGTTAATTTTGTGCCACAGAATTATGTTTTCTCCCTTACTGCAATTATGAAGATTATATTTTATATGACATGAGAAAATTGCAACAGAAGACCCAAGAGCAAACATAAAAGGGAAAAAATGATTAAATAGAAAGAATTTTCTAGTTAAGCAACATATCCCTTTCAGCTCCTAATTCTGATAAGAAAACATTCCATTGTTGGATGACTTAATATATATCAAATTCCTAAAAATGATAAAAAGGGATATTGTGTTTTTGTTGTTTTGAGACTTCCTTAATTTTTGTGTCAGTATTTGTCATGTGTTTATTGCGATGACTGAGTTGTGTTAATCAAACATCACATTTCTTAGCAAGGGACATCAGGTAGGTACTATTTAAGAAAGTGTAAAAGTTAAGCATGCTCCAGGTTTAACTATTTAAAAATGTTATACTTTTATCACTTTAATATCGGATCCTAATTTTAAAATTTGCTTTATGTTGGGAAAAACTTGGCATCTCCAAAAACACTTTTTAAAGAATTCTAACAGATTCAAACTTGTTTCTTAAGGAATTACTTGGACCTGCTTGCAGATATTGTTTCTTCTTCATCCAGGCAAGAATACATGTTGTTTAATTTTTATGAAAAATGTGTATTTTCTTGTGGACTGGCTCAGAATATAATTCAAATGAATCTCTTTGAATCATAAGGAAAAATAACTGGCACTTCAAAGTACTTGCCAAATACTTCAATATAAAACTGTTTGCTATTCAGTTTTTGTCAAAATTTAGTCATTTAGTTTACTAATGGCATCTAAAAGACCATATATAGAACATTACCCTAGTTTCTCAGTGGAATCCTTTTACAAAAATAAAACAATATGCTGTTTATTCTTGCTAAGGATTGATATAATTGACATAAGAAAGATTCTACATGCTTTTTAAAATCTAACTGCTACTGAAAATATTTTTCATTATTTTGTTCAATATCCCACATATAAAAAACACTTTTTTTTTCTGGAGTTTATCTAGAGATAAAGTTTGTTTATCATGGGAATTTTAATGTAACTTATTATACATCTTCACAAAGGCTAAATTTAATCTTAGTACCAGCTTCTGAATAACTAATTTTCCAATTTCATTACCCAGTTATTTTCTTCTCATTCAATAATCACAGAGTATGTATATATTTTTTAATAAACTTTTTAAAATTTATTTTTGAAACTTGCAAAGAAACAAATAATAAATATTAGCACAATTGAAATTTGTAATTTAAGACAAAACAATTTATTCTGGAAAATTTGCTGTGAATAGACATTAAAAATAGGTTTAAGAGGCTGGGCATGGTGGCTCATGCTTGTAATTCCAGCATTGGGAGGCCAAGGCGGGCAGATCACCTGAGGTCAGGAATTTGAGATCAGCCTGGCCAACATGGTGAAACCCATCTCTACTAAAAATACAAACATTAGCTGGGTCTGGTGGTGGATGCCTGTAATCCAGCTACTCAGAAGGCTGAGGCAGGAGAATCGTTTGAACCCAGGAGACTGAGGTTGCAGTGAGCCAAGATTTTGCCATTGCACTCCAGCATGGGTGACAAGAGTGAAACTGTGACTCAAAAAAAAAAAAAAAAAACCAAGATTAATTTGTGCAAAATAATCTAAACACTGTACGTGTGTGTGTGTGTGTGTGTGTATTCCTTACTCTGTCCCCTAAAAAACCAAGATTCATTTGTGCAAAGTAACCTACATATTGCATGTGTGTGTGATGTGTAAGGTGTAAACGTTACAACCAACTTATATTATCTCTGTTCTATCAGTAGGGTTGATTTTTGTTTAAATTACATGCAAATAATGTAGGCTCTTTCTATATTTGATCTAGTCAAAACATGATATTTGCTATAGGATGCATAATTAATTCTTGGCTTATTTCAAAAGATAACCTTTACTATGGTCCAAGTTTCATTTGTGATAAGGATTTAAGTTATCCTGAAAAAATTTTATTAAGTGAAGTTGTTCCAGTGCTTTATATCTATAAACACCATTTAACACAATATATTATCATGAATATATTCATATATATTTATATATTTTCCATAAGTAATGGAAAGTAGTTTGCATTCTCTATGTTCAAGAAAAGAATAAAACAAATTACAGTGTTAGGAAAGAGTGCTCAGAAAAATATGGATTAAATAGTCTAAAGAATAAAGTGTGATATTTTACTATTTTTTGAGTTCATGAAGGACTACTGGAATGAAATAGCAACCGGCTGTTCTCTGCTACTCACAGCCAAGTGAATACAAACACAGATTTAAATTGCAGAAACTCACAGAAGTCTCATGAATAAAATATATTATTCCTCATTTTGGATATGTAAAGAAGTAATATACAGAATTTCAAGCTAAAAAACTGACAAGCAGGGAAATAACATTATTGCTGATAGGGAAAATATGAATTAAATGATTCCATATTATAGTATTCTAATATCCCACTGTGTGTGTGTGTGTGTGTGTGTGTGTGTGTATGTGTGTGTGTGAATGAAGTTTACATGCACGGGTCCATGAGTGAGTTGGAGAATTAGGTAGGCACCAAATAGTGTTTGGCTCACTCAACTTATTACTGGTTAAAGTAGACTTGGATCAGTTCGGTCAAACAGCATTTGAAAATATGTGTAGAGATGGTGGAAAGAGAAGGAGGCAGTGGTTCCTGGGCAAATGTAGAAGAGTAAACAAGTAAATTACTTTGGCTAATACCAGCCCCTCTTTGATAGCCATGCTTGTTGGGGTCTGGAGGTAACATAAATAATCTGGCTTCCTTCCAGCATGTGAGGATACACAAGAAGACAGGAACCAGAAAGCAGCCCTCATAAGACCCCAAATCTGCTTGTGCCTTGATCTTGTACTTCTCAGTCTCCAGAACTAAAGAGGAATAAGTTTCTGTTGTTTATAAGTGGGGGGAAAAAAGAGAAAAAGAAAGAAAGAAGAAGAAAGCATCTGCCTTGCAGATTGCTAGCGTGTTTTATTAACCTCATGATCTTCACTGACTTCATGGGAATCAACCTTTACAGTCAGTGATTTTTCTCCAACTAGTAATGTAACCTTCAACCTTGTTGATATTTCTTACACATAATTTCCAGAAATTGTTTTATGTGTCTGTTCAACTTAATAACCTTATTATCACTTCCCTATTGCCTGGCACAGAGCAAAAGTTAAATAAAGGACCAAAATCACTGAATCCCAGAGACAGATAGCTAGAAAGTACCTTAGCAGTCATCTAGTCTAACATTTGTTTTACCAATGTGGAAGCTGAGGCACATAGTCCAGTAACTTGCTGAAATCTACAGAAGTAATTAATGAAAGAGCTAGGATGAGAAGGCAGATCTTTGACACCCAGTTCATGCTGACTTAAAGGTAACAACATTTTGGAAGCTATAACTTTGGAGTTATAGGTCCACATTCACAGATGAGGTTTCTGGGACTGTGAGACAGTGAGGTTTTAAATTCTTAAATGGGTTGTAAAGGTGAATAAAGAGAGGAAGGCAGGTGTTAGTTCCCTGGCTCCTCTGGTGTTAGGACAGACATGCTGTGTGTCACAGTGCTGACCATAGTCTGCAATTTGAGAAGGATTGAGAATTGTTTACTGCAGACTTTAGAGAGTCAGTTAACTCAGGATTACAATAAAATAAGCAAAAATAAAGCCTTATCTGAAGACTTAACTGTACTATAATATAAAATGTGCTTCAGAAAGTAGTTTTGATGATAATTTAAAATAATTCCATAAGGCTTTACCTTTCTCTTTTGCTATAATGTGATTTTCTTTATCATTATGCCATTTATTTATAATTGCAATTTTCAGATCTAAGAGCATATAAGGCCCTCAAGGCTTAAAACGATGCATTGTTTATAAAGTTGCCTTTGGGGGTTTTATTTTAAAATATTTAACATCTGATATCAAGTTAGTGTTAACCAACAGATGTTACATATATATATGTATATGTGTATATATATATTTATGTGTGTATATATATATATATTTTTTTAAAGTTGGCAATTCTTTTTCCCCCAACCCTTTTGTTTGTTTTCAAAACCTAATTTCTTAATTTTTTCCCTTCTTTAGGAGAAAGTGAGCCAAGGCGTTTGCATGCCCCGAGGTTATCTTGAAGTGATGCCAAATCCTAAGGACAATGAAATGAATCACCTAAGAGCCACCTGTTTTAATAGTGACATAGTACTAATGCCAGAGGTATCAACCTTTAGAGTTTTGCCATGGGCTGAGAGAACTGCAAGAGTGATATGTGATACCTTCACTGTGACTGGTGAGCCTCTTTTGACTTCCCCAAGGTACATTGCAAAAAGGCAGTTGAGCCAGCTACAGGCGTCTGGCTTTTCCTTGCTTTCTGCCTTCATCTATGATTTTTGCATTTTTGGTGTGCCCGAAATTTTAAATTCAAAGACCATATCTTTTCCTGCTTCAACATTTTTTAATAACCATGATCAGCCCTTCATGCAGGAACTTGTTGATGGCTTATATCACACTGGAGCCAATGTTGAGAGTTTTTCCTCCTCTACCAGGCCTGGTCAGATGGAAATCTGTTTTCTGCCTGAATTTGGCATTAGTTCAGCTGATAACGCATTTACCCTCAGAACAGGTGTCAAAGAAGTAGCAAGCAAATATAATTACATTACCAGCTTCTTCATTGAGACTGGATTTTGTAATTCAGGGATTTTGTCTCATAGTCTCTGGGATGTCGAAAGGAAGAAAAACATGTTCTGCAGCAGTTCTGGAACTGAGCAGCTCACGATCACTGGGAAAAAATGGTTGGCAGGACTCTTGAAACACTCTGCTGCTCTCAGCTGCCTGATGGCGCCTGCTGTTAGCTGCCGAAAGCGTTATTCCAAGGACAGAAAAGACCTGAAGGAGAGTGTGCCTACAACGTGGGGATACAATGATAACAGCTGTATATTTAATATCAAGTGTCATGGAGAGAAAGGCACCCGGATAGAAAATAAACTAGGCTCAGAAACAGCAAACCCTTACTTGGTGCTGGCTGCAACTGTGGCTGCAGGCCTAGATGGACTTCATACAAGTGATGAGGTCTTGGCCGGTCCAGATGAGAGCACAGACTTTTACCAAGTAGAACCTTCCGAGATCCCTTTAAAACTGGAAGATGCCCTTGTGGCACTGGAAGAAGACCAATGTCTGAGGCAGGCTCTAGGAGAAACCTTTATTCGGTATTTTGTTGCCATGAAGAAATATGAGTTGGAGAGCGAAGAAAGAGATGCAGAGAGAAATAAATTCTTAGAGTATTTTATTTAGAATAGAACTCACAATTACTCTTTAGAGATGTAATTATTACTTAATCTACCAAAACAAAAAGACTGAACTTTTATAGTTAACAACAGTGACAATAACAAGACTAAGAACACTTGCCTTTATTTTTTTTGTCTCCATGGAATATTTGACAGATGAAGTAGGACTGCTGAGAAGATCCTGATAACAGAAACAAACAATAGTTGTGGTGAAGCTTTAATAGGCAAATTACCAGATCTTGTCAGTTAGTCATCATCTTCTATGTGTATGCTGACCTGGATACAAATATCGAATTTTGGGGGGCAATAAATATATTCACACATTAAAAAAAGACTTAGCATTAGAAAGCAAAATTTAAATGACTTAAAAAAAGGAGGAATAATTTTAATGGTACAAATAAATTATGACTTCCAGGGAGACAAACACACTAATATAGTCTAGCTAATCAAATCATGTTATGAATCTAGGTTGTATGCATCATTATGGTCTTTCTCAATAAGTTAAAGAAACTTTTGTCAAAATATAATGAAAAGTAGGCAGAAGTTACCCCTAAGTTCTTCTCTTTTCACACTTCTCCGCTTGCTCCTGAAAGGCTTATGAACTTCAAGGTTATAACATCCTTAAGAAACAAATCCATAAGGAAGAGAATTGGGGTTGCAAACAACGAGGTCAGATTTCAAAAGTTAAAGTCTTTCTTTAAACAATCCTTCATATAGAAGTTCAATACATAAAATGTAGATAGAATGAAGTATGTGTGTGAGGGTGGGTGGGCCATCTACTCTGCTTCATTCTTTGAAACTAGATGTCCCTCTGAAACCTCTAGTGTTCTGTGGAGTGTGAGAATAACTGCCTGGCGAGCCAGAGCTATGTCTGGAGTTTAAGTTTGTTATTCAAATCACTGAATCTTCTGCTCACAGAGGTTGGTACCTCCCCAGAGAATATTACATGTTCCAGGCCTTTGTTTGAATGAGATTATATTGTAACTATCACTAAAGTTTAGCTTCTTTTGGGAAGAAGACCAAAATCTACTTACTAGCAAATGAAAACACTGTTCTACTGCTTAGGATCAAACAGCAGATTTTATGTTCAATTAAAATGGACTGTGGTCTCAATTTAGATAGCAAACACACAAGCAGAGGATTAGAATTTGGCTCAGATGCTCTTATTAAAATTCAGAGTACTCAGTAGCATAAATAGTGAAAGTCGGTCTGTCCTTCACTAATTACTCCCTTCTTTTCTCCTTTGAGCAGGAGAAGTGTATTTGGATACATAAGAAGAAAGTTCCCAGCACTTTGGGAGGCCAAGGCAGGAGGACTGCTTGAGGCCAGGAGTTTGAGTCCAGCCTGGATCAAATAGTGAGACCCCTGTTTCTACCAAAAAAAAAAAAAGAAAAAAAAAAAAAAAACCTGGCTTGGTGGCACATGCCTGTAGTCCCAGCTACTCAGGAGGCTGAGAAGGGAGGATCACTTGAGCCTGGGAGTTTGAGGGTAGAGTGAGCCATGATCACACCACAGCACTCCAGCTTGGGTGACATTGTGAAACACTGTCTAAGGAAAATAAAAGAAAAGAATAAAGCTCATGGATGCATATGGAGTAGAGAGAAAGGTAGTGTAGTGTAGGTGGGGGAAAGAAGGGAATCTCTCCTGAAACCTCCAGAATGAAATCCCACACATTACATCATGGGAGGGATAAGGAGGACCCTCATGCCAATTTTCTAGCTGTCTGCTGATATTCCTTTTCCCATCTGTTCTCAGTAATAAAACCTCAATGTGTTCGTTGAAAGCAATAAAAAATAAAATGAAACTTCTGAGCCTTCATTAAGATTGAATGTGGTCACGTTAATAGGTTCAGTGCAAAGAGGTGAAAGTAGAAGTGTTGTATGGAAGTTCTTTCGTGCATTTTCTCTTCTTTTCTTTTTGCAAAGGAGTCTCGGGAAATTTGAGGGATTTGGGGATGAAAGAATAAAGATATAAGAACAGTGATTGATGACTTCTCCAATCTTCCCACTTCCAGAGAGGATAATCTGAGTTAATCAAAGGGATCCACACATGCAAAAAATGGGATTGGCTTTACCCCATCCTTATAAAATGGCATATCCCTTTATAGTCCATGGGTCTTAACGAAATATGTTTTTCTTTTTGTTTTATTGAGACAGAGTCTCGCTCTATCACCCAGGCTGGAGTGCAATGGTGTGATCTCAGCTCACTGCAACCTCCACCTCCCTGGTTCAAGCAGTTCTCCTGCCTCAACCTCCCAAGTAGCTGGGACTACAGGTGCCTGCTAGCATGGCCAGCTAACTTTTGTATTTTTAGTAAAGATGGGGGTTCACTAGGTTGGCCAGGCGGTCTTGAACTCCTGACCTTGTGATCTGCCCCCTGGCCTCCCAAAGTGCTGGGATTACAGGCGTGAGCCACCATGCCCGGCTGAAACATGTCTAATGCATTGACTTCATTTTACCATAATGAGTAAAAGATGCTATAAAAAGTCTGATAATCACAGTGGTTTGAAGTCCCTTTTTCCCCATGCACATTATTAGCATAACTTTAAAAACACAGTATTCAGAATGCCATGTGATGGAATTATATAACTAGGAATATGATCTTCAGTATTAAGCATACAGTAGTGAATCAACAGAAAATATTCAGCCATAGATTACAAATCAATTGATAATGTAAGTTGGTGTGGCAGTCTCCACCAAGATTTCAGTTAGGTATGTGCTGATGTATATTCTTGTTCTTTAAAGCAACCCCAGAAGAGGCATTGGCCAACAGACTTCAGGGCTAAAGACAAATTGGGGTAGGTACACGTAAAAATCAGTTATCTTTTTCTCTATTTCTTTCATCTGTTCATAGACTTTTTATTATTAAAGGGACTTTCTGCTGATATTTCCACCTTCTCGTTCTGGGTTAAGAGGGTCAGAAATTCATTCAACAGCATTTCCTGAGTACCATTTTTATGCTAAGCCTTCTTCTGGGAGCCATCATACTAGGGGAGACCAAGACAAAGAAGATGAACAGACAATGAAAGAGTTTTGGATCTGCGTAGCTTGAGCAGAACAAAAATAATTTTTTTATAGGCCTAACACTGAAAAAAACTATTTGGAAAGCTTCTTTATGGTTCGAAAAGGATGCTTTATGAATAGTTTTACAAAAATGACTTTCTTATTTTAATTTACTATAATTGTTCTAATCAAAGCTTAGGGGAAAATGTGATTACTGAATTTAAAGTTGGTTATTAAATGCGTATACAGAAGAAATATAAATTAAAAGCAATAATGTTTTAAGACTAGAAACTAAAACATTAGTATTGTAGTCTATTTTCAAGGACATTCTATAATCTAAAATTTCATTTTACAGTGTCTGAATAACAACAAAGCTTGAAATGATGATTTGAAGGCAATGAAAGATCAAAAAACTTGAGTCTGAATAAAAATTGAAAGCATACAGTGAAGTCTGAGCTTATCACAAACAGAACAGTCTATTGACATATCTCCAGTCACCTGTTTAACAAAATACACTTACCAGTATGTTTGTGATAAAGGTATAACTAAAAAATACTTTTAACCTTGGGTTTTCTGTTACAGGGGTTAGAATTTGTATCTTTAAACATTACCTATGTGCACAGTGCCTTCCCTGTTAAAGCTCTTCTCATGCTGCCTGTGACTAGGGGTTTATATGATATTTTCTAAATAGGATGTACATTCTAAGAATAAAAGGAACAGATTTTACTTACATTTGCATTAATATTTTTTGTTCCTTGCATATGTTCTGGAATTCAATTAATCTTTAATCCATCAATCAATGCATGTGTTATTAGCATAGTTTAGTATTATGCTTGTCCAGCATAAAACACAGAAATTCACATACCCAGAGAGAGGGGGGAATAGAGTTGGAGATAGTGGAGAAGATCAACAGTTTTTTTTTTTTTTTTGCTGATCCTACTATTTCTGCCATTAGATGAACTTCTTCAGGTTTTCTGCTTCTAGAAACTCCTAAGTAAACACCATTTGATTAGCTTGATGGGATCAAACGAACAAAAACAACAACAACAGAAACAAAAAACAGAGAGCAAGGTGAGGTTGTAATGCTTTTTAGCCATGTGGAACCTTTCAATAGCTTTTTTACATTTGCAGAATTCCTCTTCTTTGGGATCTTGTCTCCCAAAGTAGAAATCAGAACCTCACCTTCCCAGTTGCTCATGCTGCCATGGTAGAAGGACTTCACCAATCAGATGCAGACATAAAATCCTCCTGGACTCCACTCTGCTGAGCCTGAGGGAGGCAGCAGTGACAGGAAGCCATGGGTGCCCTTCTGGGCTGGCACTGTGGGGGTGGGGGCGTCGGTGGTACTGTTGCCCAGTGTCAGTGGCTGTTAGGTCTCTGGAACAGTCAAGTGCAGCTTCTGAACCTGATTGTTCTGGCCCTCCCAGAATCTGTTAAATATCTAATATCTTTTAATAAATTTCTTTTTTCCTTAAAATCGCTAGATTTTGTAAAAAGAAGCCTGACTGAAAAACAGTAAATAAAAAGACACACAAAGAGCATGAAAACTTTGATAAGAGAAAAGGAGAAAGAAAGGCAGAGAATTACCCTTAATTAGAAGACTAGGAACAATTGAATGTTTATACTAGATACAGAATAAATGAAGGTTTATTAAACTCCTAGTATAACATATATCATGTGGGCACTTTGTCATTCATTGCCTTATTTCATGCTCTCTACGATCTTACAAGAAAGGTATGCTTATCATTTTTAAAAACAAAAGATTTAAGACCCCGAAAATTTGTGTTGAAAAAACTAGAAATCAAATCCAGGTTTCTACTCAGTCTCACGGTCTCTGCGCTACACCAAAATGCCCTTCACTACACAGTCTCAGCTGAGTACAACACTGAAAATTATGCTGAACATTACATTTTAATTTTCAGGCTTCTAGGCATTAAAACGAACAGAAGTTGGTAAATAATTGGACCTGTCCTTTCTGTTAATATGCAGTTCCAGTTAATGTAGTTTCACTGCATTGTTATATGTTAGAATACAAATAAATCTCAGCAAACCAGACATGGAATTGTTCTGGTAGTAGATATGTGCTTGATAACTCTATCCAGGTCAGAAGATCTTATCACAAAGAAGTATGATGCCATGACATTATTTCAGAACTTTTGTCTGAGAATAGTAATTCAAGCCTTAAGTAGTTTAATTTTTTTGAACACACAAAAAACATGTGGTTGAAATTTCTAACCATCCTTAGAACTTAAAATAGTGCTATTCAGTTATTTTGTTTTATTTTTAGAAATATTCTTTGATAAGAACTCAACATTCACTGAGAGCAAAAAAGATCTGTTACTTCTCTCTGGCTGCTAAAGCAATAAAATATAGAAAACACATTGATTTTTGAAAACAATCAACCTACATGGAGGGGAAACGTGTAAGTTAAGGGAAAAAGGAATTTGCTGAGAACCTGCTACACAGTGACATAACAAAGCTTTTTCTTTTCTTTTGAGATGTTTCTTAAGATTAATAAGATCAGTTTTACTTGGAAAGAAAAGTGACACTTTAATTTATAACTATAAAAATTTAATTTTTATAAAACCACAAATAAATGATTCATTAAATCGAAATGAATATCAATTTATTGGGCATATCCAAGAGACTATTGAATAAATTGTTACATTACAGAAAACTTTTCAAACATAAGCTAGAGGGCAGCAAAGTACCATTAAATAGACAATGTAGGTGGCTCAGAATTCAGGGCAAAGCTGAACATTTGTAAAAGTAACTGGATTTTGAATCTAGTTACTTTGAATAAATGAAAATCGAAAAAAAATGTATTAGAAATACTAACAGCAGAAAGAAATTCCCAACCATATGACTTGCGTTGGAATATATTTAGGTTAACAGGTATTAAATACAGGCTCTATGTCAGAGGGGAGGGGGAAAAAGGAATGTTGACAGGATATGACATTACCAATATTGAAGGGTGTGTTCAAGAGACATTAGACATATGAAACCACAGAAACACTAGCTGCATTCTGTGATGTCTAAAATTAATCTAGATTTCTTAAATTTTGGATGACTCTGAAAGAGATTTGAAATACATAGATCTGAAAAGAACTAAAGAAGAAATCTTTAATAAACTATGAAAAAAAGAAAATCCAGTAATTTGTTGCTTATTTGGAGGTTCATTAAAATGAATCACATTATAAGAGCTTCTACAATATCTACAAATGAAATAAATGCTACAAAGTATCTTCTGTGATCTTTAGAAAACATATATCAACCACTTTTTATGAGGTAAACAGAAATTATAATACTTTAGTATTTCAAGTGAAAAAGGATTGTTAGATAATAAATTGTTGTTTAAGTTAGATATTAGGTAGAATTTTTATTCAATTTATGAAATAATTGTTTTTGAGAGCCATTTGTATGTAAATTACTAAAGGGGAAGATACAAACTAGACAATACATGTTTTTCTCCCACAAAGAGCTTTTAATTTAATTAAGAGAATAAATGTTTCTAAACGTCCATGGACAGAGGACAGAATTTTTGTGGTGAGGAGACAACAAAACAGCAGGCTGACATTGATCAAACAATGAGAAGGCTTGGGCTGAATCACAGATTTCCTTGGCTCCAACCACCTTTCTCACAGGATGGCAAAGTAATAAGGTCCCACGTCTCCAGCACTTGAAGAAGGAAAAGGAATATGGCTAGGAAGGGGCAAATAAACTAATTCTAAAATAGAGCTGTGTCATATGGCCACACTTGCTTAATTCCCTGACAAAGAATAAGCATCTTATCTCAGACTTACCACCTTTCTCCCTTCTCTCAACTTGCAGTGGAAGAGGTGCCTCTCACAGTTGTCAAGATCCCACCTCTCTGGCCACCTCATGGCCTGTTACCAGTACCCTCTGTCTACTGTATCTCCAGTATGTCCCTCTCCTGGTATCACGTTGACATGGTTACAAGGTGCATAGTGCACATGCACACGCATGCACACACTCACACACCTGAAAAAAAAAATCTATTAATCCCAAGTACTCTTCTCACTTCTCTCTGTCTTTAAAATCAAATTTATTGGCTGGGTTACATGTCCTTGCTCTTTCTACTTCCTCTTACTATTACTCCTCATAGTTCTCCATCACTGCCCCGCAAAATTTTGGTTTCTTCCTCCACCAAGCCACTCCAACTGTTCTCACCAAGGTTAATAATAAACTCCCTCTTGTTAAATAGAAGGGATATATCTCATTTATGTTTTATGATGAGCAAACAGAATTTAAAGTTGCTGACCTCTACCTCTTTGTCAAAATGGTTTTCTCCTGACTTGCAAGACAATAGAGGTTCTAGATGATCTGTCTCTGGCCACTTCTTAGCTTTTCAACGTCTTGTGAATTCCTCTTTTCTGCCCAAAATTCAATGTTATTATTTAAGATCTTTCCATTCTTCGTCCTTTCCTCCTTCTAAAAGTTGTCTCAACAACATCTTATTTATTATCAATATTACTTTCCATGGATTAAGACTCTTATTTATTTATTTATGAGACGAAGTCTCATTTTGTTACCCAGGCCAGAGTGCAGTAGCATGATCTTGGCTTCCTGCAACCTCTGTCTCCCAGGTTCAAACAAATCTCCTGCCTTAGCCTAAGTAGCTGTGGTGACAAGCACCCACCGCCATGCCTGGCTAATTTTTGTATCTTTAGTGGAGATGGGGTTTCATCATGTTGGCCAGTCTGGTCTTGAACTCCTGGCCTCAACTGATCCACCCGCCTCAGCGTCCCAAAGTGCTGAGATTACAGGCATGAGCCACTGTGCCTGGACAAGACTCTTGGTTTGAAGTAATGGAAATCAAATTGAACTTGATTAAATAAAATAAGGACTTTTTTTTGCTTGAGATAGAAGAGTGCCTCATGGACCCTAAGACCTTCAGTGTGTCTAGGTCTTGGGAATGAGTCTAAGATACTGAAGCACTGTAGATAACCCAGGACATCTTTTCTTTTTTTTTTCCTTGAGATGGAGTTTCACTCTTGTTACCCAGGCTGGAGTGCAATGGCGCAATCTCGGCTCACTGCAACCTCTGCCTCCTGGGTTCAGGCAATTCTCCTGCCTCAGCCTCCTGAGTAGCTGCGATTACAGGCACGCGCCACCATGCCCAGCTAATTTTTTTTTTGTATTTTTAGTAGAGACGGGGTTTCACCATGTTGACCAGGATGGTCTCGATCTCTTGACCTCGTGATCCACCCGCCTCGGTCTCCGAAAGTGCTGGGATTACAGGCTTGAGCCACCATGCCCTGTTGTGTTTCTCCTCATGCCGCATCATCCTCTCACTCCTGCTTTAGACTGGCTTTCTTTGTTACTTTCTCTACATGATGGAAAACGGCTGCTGAAACGACTTCCTAAATTTATGTCTTTTATGTTGAACAAGCAACATGTTTGAAGTTAGTCTCTTCTAGTCCCAACTCCAAATTCATTGGTTCAGTTTGGGCAATGTACTCACTCCTCATCCAGTTAACTGTGGCCTGGAAAGGAGATATCACATTGTGTGAACATGGCTGTTTATTTATAATAAATACAGATGGGACAGGCAAAGGGAGTCCTGGTGAGAAGGCATAAAAACCAAATGATGCTGATGCTAAGGCCCATACCTTCAGTTTTTACTTACAAGCAAATGATTATCAAATTAGTTTCTCAAAATGTAAATCCACTCGAATGTCCCACAGGTATTTCAAAGTCAAGACATCGGTGTTTAATTTA